CACACAGGGAGGAGTGCTGTGATGTCAGTTTTTGAAACTGAGTTCATTTCAATCCCCATCACAGAGATCTAGTATCAATGTCGCCAGTTGCTGTTTGATTATATGCCTCCGTTGCCTTTCCTCTGAGTCTTGTGTGTCGTTAAGACTGTATTGTCCCTCCACGCTGTAACAATCTCTCTCTGATTATCTTATACGCTATTTGGGTTTGCTTCCGTGCTCCCAAAGGGTCTTCGTCACATTAAATACAATTGTATATCATTTTGCAATCTTCACACTTAAACAGTTAATAGAAAAGAACATTGAATACTATAAGAACTTATTTGTGGCATTCGTAGACCAGGAGAAGGCATTTGACAGAGTCGACAGACAATTGCTATGGAAAATAATGGCAAGATATGGAGTAAGCGAACACCTCATCGAAGTGTGCAAAAGTTTATACAGGGATTGTAGAAGTGTAGTTAGAATAAATCAGGGAAAATCTCATCCTTTCACAGTGACATATGGAGTAAGACAGGGGTGTGTCTTATCACCACTGCTGTTTATCACCTACATCGACAGTATTTGCAAGAATGCCAAGCCCATGAATGAAGATCTTAGTAAGATCAACGAATTACTCTTTGCAGATGACCAGACCTTAATAGCAGATACAGCCATGAAATTGCAACAACATCTAACATCCATGAATGAAGAATGTAAAACAAATAATATGAAAATCAACACTGAAAAGACAGAAGTAATTTCAACAGGAAAAAAGAAAGATCTAAACATAGCAATAGAATACAAAGGCATTAAACAGGCATCTGAGTTTAAATATCTGGGAACTACATTTACCGAAGATGGGAAATTGGATAAAGAAATTGACATTAGATGCAGTAAAGCAAACCAAGCATTGGGACAGCTAGCTCCCCTCTTACAGTATAAGACAATCCCAATCATCACAAAGAGACATCTTATTCAAAGCATATTTATTCCAGCTCTGTGCTACCAGTGCCAGACATGGTCACTCACAACAAACCATAACAGAAAATTAGTAACCACGGAAATGAGATGTCTGAGAAGGGCTGTAGGAGTGACCATAAGAGATAAGATCAGGAATGAGATCATAAGAGAACAAGTCGGCACAGAACCAATTCTGGATTACATACAAAGACAGCAAGTGAAATGGTTTGCCCACTTAGAGAGAATGCCTTGTGACACCATACCATACAAAGCATACATGGACAGAGAAGAAGGACGTAGAGCACGGGGTAGACCAAGAACAAGATGGAAGGATAACATCAGAGAAACTCTACAACAGCACGATGTGCCTATGGTCGAGGCAGCCAGAAGAGCTAGAAACAGATCCTTATATCTCACTCGACACCCACAGCGGTAAAAGAGGAAGTGAAGAAGAATAAGAAGTATATCATTTTAATAACAATTGCTACGTATCTTATATATAAGATACCTATATAAATAAAGATTCCGCATCTTCACACTTCACAAATGATGGAGATAAACGTGGTAAACCCGCCAAACATCAGCGTTTAAGACCATGAGCTGTTGGTTCTACATGGGTTTCAGTACCTAGGCTCTCGAATCGCCGACTATCTTTCCCTAGATTTAGAATTACAGAGACGAATAGGAAAGGCTCATATAATGCTCCCCGAACTAACGACAAGAGTGTGGTCAAAAAAGCTTGCGTCCTGAGCACGGCAGTTAAACCTGGTCTCTGTATGCTACCAAAGAAAAAATACTTCATTGCTTTCCACATGCGCTGTAGGAGACGCATTCTTGGTCTATCATGGTGAGACTGTCGCCAAAGAATGTGTACACACAAGAGGAGGAATGCCAGTGGTGTATTTTCTACAGAAGCAAGGTCGTCTGCGTTGCTTGCGACATGTCTTTTGCATAAAGGAGGGTCGCATTCCAATGGATATCCTGTATGCTGAACTGGCAAAAGGGATAAGACCTGCAGAAAGGCAAATACTGCGCTATAAGGAGTGTACAAACGCGAGGGAAAGATATCTACATTGACACAGCCACTTGGGTCAGATCAGCCTTAGACCTACTCCTTTAAAGGCAGATAGTGAAAGACTGACTGCCGAAGTTTGAAAGAAGTCATAAGCAGCAAACTACAAAGAGGAGACGTCCTAGAGAAAACCAGCCTCGGATTGATAGACACAGCAGAAGAGACGGATACACTACAGCCAGCAGTTCTACTGACAGAAGTAGAAAATGTAATAAAGATAGCACCAAGGCACAAAGCGACTGGTATGATGAAACAGGAGCAATATGTGTCAGGCGAATTTTCCAGACAGCCTGGCTAGGACAAGAAACACCAGATGACTGGAAAACAGCAATAATTTTACCGATATAGAAAATTAAATGGAGTAAGAAAGGGTGCACTAATTACAGGAGAATATCACTGTTAAGCCATACAGGGAAAATGTATGCCAAACTAATTGAAAAAAAAAAAGATTAAGGTACCATTAGTAGAAGAACACATTTTAGAAGCCCAGATGGGTTTCAGACGTAACAGAAGCTGCACAGATGCAATACGTATATTAGGACGGTTGACAGAAAGAGCAATAGAGTATGATAAGGTATGCAAAGTTGCATTTATAGATCAGGAAAAGCATTTGACAGAGTGGATAGGAATATGTTGTGAAATTGCTTAAGAAGATATGGAATCAGCAAACATCGAACTGGTTTGTAAGAGCTCACATACATTAAGTAAAAGTTGCATACGAACAAAAACTGGTAAATCACAAACTTTTGAAGTACATTCAGGAGTAAGAAAGGGATGTGTGCTATCTCCCCTGCTTTTTATAACACACATCGACAATTTATGCAAAGAAGCAGAGAGCTAAGAAAAGTATGATATCACAGAATTGTTATTTGCTGATGACCAAGTATTAACAGCTAAAGTAGAAAAGAGTTTACAGAACCATATAAGTACAAGTCAGTACTAAATGTGAGAAATATAATATGAGGATAAGCATTGATAAGACAGAGGCAATGACAATATGCAGACAAGAAGAAACATATCAATTAAAGTAAATAGCACAGAAAATAAAACCGAGCTAATTTAAATATCTAGGGTCATTTTTCACCTCGGTTGGAAGAATGGACAGAGAAATCAACATACGATGTGTGAAAGCAAATCATGTTATGTGACAATTAACACCGCTTATAGAAAGATAACTGTCAACCAAAGCAAATCTCGTAACAACGGTTTTTTTGGCCGACATTGTGCTGTTAGTGCCAAACATGGACCATTACTATAACTAATGAGCGGAAGATCGTAACAACTGCGATGAGATGTCTTAGAAGAGCTGCCGGCGTGACAAGAAGAGATAAAATCAGTAATAAAAAAAATCATAGGAAGACTAGGACTGAAACCAGTCATATAATTCATTAAAGAACAACAAATGATATAGTTTGGCCACCTGACGAGAATGCACTAGTACCAACTACCACAGAGAGCCACGCTGAAGAAATATAATAAACACAGAGTAAGGGGAAGACCACAAAAGAGATGGAGCGACATCATCAGGAGTAACCTAACAGAAATGAATACCAACTTGTACAATGCATTTGAAAAAGTGCACAAACGATGCTCACATCTCCCCCAACACCTCGCTGGGGTAAAGGTGGAAGAAAAGAAGAAGGAGAAGAATTGATAGAGCATTAACGTTTATATGTGGACTATAGGGCGTTTGACTTTACAGCCACAACAGACGCTGTTCCCAAGAATAGCGGCACAGTTCCATGGTCCCCAGAGACTTATGTTTGCCTACATTTTATTGCACTGGAACCCACAAGGGAATAGGACTACAGGAAAGCCAAAAAACACATGGATAAGGGAGCTGGAGAATGAAGTTAGAAAGATGAGGAGAACATGGGGAAAGCTGCATGCAATAGCAAAGGATAGAAAGACTTGGCCTGAGCTGGTTGAGGGCCTATGCTCCATTGGGGGGCTAGAATGGCAGGAGAGAAACATGTTAGGTGTCTTGATATTTTGAATCAGGAGCTGTTAGGGAAAGCTTGAACTTCAGCAAGGCTGGCGTCTAAGAAATATCTAAGTCTGTACACTATATAGCTACTGTTTAGGTAAACGACCTTGACACGGATGAAAACTATTGAGGCACACAGCAGCAACAGTGCAGACCGTAATACAATTAGACATGGCATTATTGCACTGGATTTTCTTGTCCATTTCTCGACGCTGGTACTATGCCGAATAAAAGCAATCATATAATAGACACCACCTCAGTGTTTGAGAAATATAAAGGTGTTCACAAATCCTAGATGACGGCTTTATGCTTCAGTGACATATAGGATGGGCTGGATTTCATTTTTTGCTTTTGTAATCGATGTTCCGTTCCAGTAAATTTTCATAATAATCTACCAATTATCTGACGCCCAGTTTAAAAGGCAATGTCGAATCCACCCCATTCCAACAAAAACAGATAACAATGTAATTAATGCCGTCATGGAGGGGACAATTTAAGGCAAAAGAGCTAGGAGATATCACAAATATAAATGGACAGATAACTTTAATATATGGTGAGATAGGGATCTGCCAGATTGTCAGTACTCAAGATTGAAACTATCTAAGACCAGTAACAGCCAACCTTCACTAGTGAAATAGCACTAGATGATGATTATGATGATGATAATTATGATGATGATAATGATGATCGTGGTAATGATGATCACTTAGAAACATAGACAAAGACGACGATGATGCTTTTGGGGATGACGATGATGATGATGATGATGATGACGATGATGATGATGATGAACATGATGACGATGATGATGATGATGATGAAGATGATGATAAAGGAAAGGAAGATATTAAATTATATTTACCTTTTGCTATAAACGAAAGATAGATTCTGCGATAATTTTGGTGAATATGATGATCATGATGACCATTATTATTATTAGTTTATGAAATTGACTATACGGACAAAAATAAAATAAAAAACGATAATTTCAACTTTACTGACTTGTGTTATAACCGAAAGGAAGACGTGGAAACCCAGCCGCACTGCAGTTGTTGCCACTGGACGCCTCACAGCCGATTCTGTAGTACAGACCAACGCCTACAGTGATGTTATTATTGGTCTCTATGTATATCCACAAGGGAGACACCAGACCCCCGATTTGAACCAAGGTGGTGAAGATGATGAAAATCAACACTACGATGATCCAGTTTCTAGTGTGCATGACGAGCGTGTGGTTCAGAGGCTTACTCCAACAGAAATTTGCGTTTGTTCAGTCTAGTTTCCGAACAATGTTTTGTCGTTGTATTATAATTGTTTATAACAGTACGATTGTGTTCCTTGTCAACGAGGCCTTTTTTCTGTTCTGCAATATTTAAGAAAAAAAAAAACATAATTAAAATGAGATACACCTAGCATCAATGCCTTAACAAAAATATGCATCTAAAAAATACAGTTCTAAAAACCAGGTTAAATTACACAAACAACATACTAAATGAACAGAAATTTAGAACAGGATTTAAAAAGCTAAAAATAATGGGGAGAGATATAAAATGTGGGGATTCCATTGTAGACGACTGTCGTTATGAGAATGGAAACAGGTATGAACTTATCAGTCGGGACTGGAATTACCACATAGCCGTCTTGTGCATACTGTGCCACAATTGTGGTTGATTGCAGACCACGCCTGAAGTTATCTCAGTCTGCTGAAAGCGAATCTACGTGATCACTCCCACACACCATGTCACAATATAAGCACCCAGCTGTGCTCACAGCTGGGAAAGAACATCGCGTCGGCTGTATGAATTTATCATCTAACTTAAAGATAACATTACTTGCCCAGTATATAAAAAGCTGAAATCTTTGAGTATCAACTTTGCCGTGTGGGTTCTGGAGCTCTATTTGGGGAAAGGTGGGGGGGGGGGGGGGGAATTGACCTACTGCCTCCCAACCAAGTATGTCGCAAAAGGTGACAAATTGGGGATTTCTCCTCCGAAATCAGAGCAATCTGTTTGAGAGGCGAGGAACTTGTAGTCTACAAACAAACAGATCTGGGAAAAGGATGTGCAGGCAAAATGCAAGTACTGGAACAAGACTAGAGTCCAAAAGTGGGCGAACCAGAATTTTCAGCAGAAGTTAACAGCCGGTGAACGCTAAAAGGAAGAGATCTAATGCCAAAGGGTGTTTTCTTTTCTCTATACATATAAAGTTTCTTTTATTATTTTGTCACATATTTATCATGATCATAAAGCAGGTCCTTTGCAGAACGTCGCTCTCAACACGGTCTGCCTGGGAAAAAAAACCTCGGTCTCTCATTAGCTCTCCCGCCTCGTGTACTTTCATATCCAAGAAGTCACTTACATCCGGTGCCAATCTTCGTGTCACATATTATGTTACATAGGGTTTGAGTGGTCTCGAGGTATGGTGTCCGCCTCGTGTTCTGGAGTTCCCTGGTTCAAGCCCCGGTGAAGGCTGTGATTTTTTCACATGGACTTCTAGTAACTTCCGCTGGTCTCTGGGTAGTAAGATCGGACGCCCGCGTGTCTTGTAAAATCCCTTGGCAGTTGGAAATCGAAAAGAGTAGCCTAAAGGCGCTGCCCGGGCAAAATGTGGAGTTAAAAATCTACCCAAAAGTATTTGAGGTTCCTCGCCGGTGTTACGGAGTTCGTGCACTGAGCTGAGATCGCCAGACTCAGGTTTGAGTTAGAAGTAGAACGGAGCAATTATGGGCTTCACCCATGTGCCATGATGTTGATATGTTGAATAAACGTAATAAATAAACATAAACATGTTACATTAATTTGTTTTATTCACACTATTAACCGTTTTTATCCCCACACATGCATTATCTTAACATGTTAAGACCCAAAGAACATTGTTCAAAGTTCTAACACTGTGAGAAAATATGCTAAAGTGAAAAACTGGGAGCGACAGAAAAAAAAAAATTTAATTTTATTTCACATCTCATAAAGAATTCATGCATAGGATTTACTGTATCTTTTATTATGGCAACGGATTTTTTCCCCCCTTATTTACATTTGCTTGCGGCCATGAAAAAGAATTGCATATTTACCACGATCTGGTTTCTTTAAGAGCAAAATCTAAACTTTCAGTTATGTAAATAAGACCGTATTACACACAGTAAGCTCGGGTATAGAGTCAGTCACGTCCCCTCAAAGATGGTATTTATGTGTGAAAACTTGTCTTTCTCCTCCATCACAAATGTGTTAATTGTTGATGCAGACGCCAAGGGATCGCGATACCATGTTTGGCTAATAAACCTATTTCTGCAGTCAAATTACCCGTGGTGTGGGTTCCAGGTCCTATATTAAGGGGGTGGGGAAAGAGGGTGGGGGGAGTATAGACCAAGTGCCCTATACTAAGCGCAGATAGCGCATCATAGATTTAAACCACCACAGAACGTGTCAATCACACATTTACTTTCGAAGACACAAGAATAATGCAGTCAAGTGCGCTGTGTTACACCGGGAGACGCCGGTGTGTTGAGAAATGAACAGGCGGACATACTTGCTGGCTCTACACAACTTGGTGGAGTATTGATGCACATGATAAAGCAGGCGTGGTTAGGACCTTGTGGGAGAGCGTGTTCAATTCGTAGGAGCAAATGGATCTCACATTCTGGTGAGAGTGATGAAGCCAGGAGTGATGAGGAGTTCTGGCCGATACTTGACGCTCAGAGGAAAGGCAAGACGGACGTATGGAGACTGCTAATGGCAACCCTGGCATTGGAACTCTGCGCTAGCTGCTGAAAATGGGGACGGGGCACTTATGGGAATGCCTCGAGTGCTGTGATTTCTTTTCTAGAATCAACTCAACTGTTCCATTTATCCCCCAACAATTAAAGTGTTTCAATAATTGTGTAAGGCGGCCTGAGCGTTGTATAGTCCCTAATTTAAAAACATATCAACGTGAAGCGAGGAAACATTGGAGATACTTGAGGACCAGAAGTGCCTGCAGTCTGGCACTGGTAGTTATATTTTTACACAGCCTTCTGTCTTGTGCACTTTCAATCATTTCTGGCACAGCTGTTTTCATACTTAACAGCCAGACATATTTTTTTCTTGGTCCCAATCCGTCTCCCTCAAATGCGGCAAGGTTTCACCTGGTGCATATATATATATATATATATATATATATATATATATATATATATATATATTTATATATATATATATATATATTACAACTTACAAAGGCAGACCCAGAAAGGGAGTGACTTCCCTTGCCATTCATCCCTGGTCTTGTCGCTGGGCCTGTCCTATTGTGCGGGGGTGTTATGCTTAGTGAGCATCCAGCGACACGACGAATTTTACTCGTTGTTTTCAGCACCGGCGACATCATTCGTTCTATATTCCACGATGTGAGCGCTTTAAACGGTCCCAAAACATGTAGAACTGTCCCTAACCTAAACCCTTCTACGCCACAGCCTCAGCCTACATCCTACGGGAGAGTGCAGCCTACGTCTAACAACTGCATGCAGTCTATGACAACAACGCGTAAAATACGTTGTGTTGTTGGACGCTCACTAAGTGTGACACCCTCGCAACACAGGCCCTACGACGCGACCAGAGATGAATAGCAAGAAAAGTCACTCTCTTTCTAGGTCAGAATTTGTCAGTTGTTCCATATATACACACACACACACACACACACACACATATATATATATATATATATATATATATATATATATATATATATATATATATATATATAAAGGAGTGTTTCTCCACAATGGAGATTGGCTGCAGTGAATATACCTACACAGTGCTGTCGTTTAAAATATTTCATGTTAGTGCCCTGACAGCTATACTAAACACATTCTGAAGAAAAGACAAATAGAGGAGAAGCAAACAGCCACTGAAATATGAAGTAAATGGACTCAGGAAATGAGAACACATATGATAAACCATTAGCCAAACGCTAATGAGAGAGGCCGGAAGTGCCTGACCGGATTCCATCCACGAAATCGAAGTGATTGCAGGACAATGAATGAATGAAAGGCTTAATATCTTTCACGGTGCGACTCTCGTGCCACTATTCAAAAGCCACGAGATTGCTATTTTCTTTTTTCGAAATCGCCCGCCGCGGAAGTCAAACCCTGGTAAGTCGAGCCTTGTGAACGCGTTTACTACCGGAAGTAAGAGTGGCGAAGCGTGTAACAACACATTTTTATATTTAAAATATGAGTCTAGCACAAGATGTCCTATCCTAAATTTTACGAGAATTAGGACTTTATTTGTACTTACGTTTTCTGCTCGGTATCTCGCAATTTTTCTCCAGACATGATTTCTCACAGACATAGCTATCTTCAGTAAGTGTATCTAAGCGAATGTGTATGCTATCTATGTAAATTATAACTATCAGAAATGTGGGTACGCCTAACAGGTCAGACGTCATTGCCTGCAGAACACGTCACCACAAAAGGCATATAGTGTTTGGTCGCAGTGGTGTAGACGCCCTGGCACAGTAAGCTTCAGGCGTGGTCCGTTCACGAATGTATGAATATATTTTTTTCTCTATAAGTTTCCTGAGTTAATAATAAAGACGTGTCTTTAAAGCGAAACAAATAGCAGATACGAGAATCAATGGAAAAGGGGGCGGGGCGGTGCAGGGCGCTGACTACTAACAAGCATATCGTAAAAGACGACTGATCAGAAGTTTGTGCTGAAGACTAATGTGTTCAGCTGAGAGGTACAACTATCACAGCCTAACTGCAAAGCGCAACAACTTGTCTTTTAAAGCCCTTTTAAGACCAAACGCAGCAGCAGTAGCAGAAAGAAGAAGAAGAAGAAGAAGAAGAAGAAGAAAGAAGAAGAAGAAGAAGAAGAAGAAGAAGAAGAAGAAGAAGAAGAAGAAGAAGAAGAAGAAGAAGAAGAAGAAGAAGAAGAACAAGAAGAACAAGAACAAGAAGAAGAAGAACACACACACACACAAAAAAAAACAAGAAGAAAAAGAAGAAGAACAAGAACAAGAATCAACATCTAAGTGTGAATAATTAGTTGCAATACTATGTAGGTTATACTCTGCCTACCGGTCCTAACGGGCTGGGTTAGAAACCTTTCTAATTGGGACAACATTATAGAACTGACAATGGCACCCAAGACGATCTAGCTTTAAATGGGTACAGAGAAATTTCATATGAAATAATAACTGTGGCCCGTGCCATAATGAACACATCACCGCTCGACGACGCTGTCGCCT